CATTAAACTGTAATTTATTTCTGTGATGCGCAGCTGTATTTCCAGCATCATTCCTCCAGTCTTCAGTGTCACATGATCTTCAGAAATCAGTATAATATGCTGATCTGCTGCTCGAGAAATATTTCTGATTATTATCAATGTTGAAAACAGTTGTGCTGCACAATATTTTTGTGGAAACTGTGATGCATTTTATTTTTCAGGATTCACAGATGAATAGAAAGTTCGAAAGAACGGCATTTATTTGAAATAGAAATCCTTTGTAATGTTATAAATGTCTTTACTGTCACTTCTGATTAATTTAATGTATCCTTACTGAATAAAAGCATCAGTTTCTTCTTACTAACCCCAAAATTTTGAACATTACTGTATAAGTGCATACACATAAATAATTTTTTAATTTGTAACAATTAGTAATTTATACACAAAAATCATTTTTAGCATCTTTTAATTTGTAACAATTTTTTCTGTTGATATAAAATATATAAAATGATTTGAACATGCTTTATGCGATTTTTATTCCACAGTTTTAACATATGCTGAAACACACTCTTGACAGTCATGCAATCGACCAATGAGACGCTCCGAGAGGCGGGTCCAGACGTGTTTTCTGTAATCCAATTAGCTGTATTGATTTCAAACACATCCGCCTCCCAGAATGCAACACTGCGATGATTTCCAGCAGCAGGACGGCCATGTTTTCTTTAAAGTCACATGTCTGTGAACTCATTACCACCCAGCGCAACAGATGCATCCCAGATCTGACCGCCCTCTGCATTTTTAAGACTAACACATGTTATTTTACCCATAATGCCATCACCCACTGAGGCCCTTTTTAAACAGCAATGTGTGGGCCATATGCTTCATTAAGAGAGAGCTGGTTCCAAAAACAGGCCCTGGTTTCTTTATTGTCTCGCGCCGCCTTCCGTCTCTGACGCTTCCAGCTCAAACTCTCAAACTGTTGAAAGGGCATCTGGAGGCAAATCCATGTGTTCTGAAGGCCTACATTTGTGAAATAAGCATCTAAAATGAGTCTGTGGTGTATCAGATCTCAACATCACGGCTCTTGAGAGCGAAGCGTTTGCTTCTACTTCATGCAGAGTGGCTTCAGACGTTTCATGTGTGATTGAGTAACTAAAAGAGGCCGTAATAAACCAATTCACCTGTCAGTCTCACTACTAACCAGAGTTATCATATACTAGAACCAGTGGCCTTTAAGTATCATTGATATCCTATTAGGCCTATAGTTTTTGTTGTTTATTTATATATTTCATTTGTATATTTTAATTTTAATTTGAAAGTTTTAGCATAGATATATATATTTTTACAGCATTTATTAATCGTTGTTAATGTTAATAACTAAAACGCAACTTCAAATTTGTAAGTTAGTAAGAAATTAGCACTTTTATTCATTAGGGATGCATTCAATTTATATTGTTACAACAGATTTCTATTTCAAATAAATGCTGTTTTTTTATTTTCTATTCATCTGTGAATCCTGAAAAATAAAACGAGTCACGGTTTCCACAAAATATGATGCAGCGCAACTGTTTTCAACATTGATAATAATCAGAAATGTTTCTTGAGCAGCAACTCAGCATATTAGAATGTTTTCTGAAGATCATGTGACACTGAAGACTGGAGTAATAATGCTGAAAATGCAGCTTTGATCACAGGAATAAATTACATTTTAACAGATATTAACATAGAAAACAGCTATTTTACATTGTAATAATATTTCACAATTTTTACTGTATTTTTTATGAAATAAATGCAGCCTTGGTGAGCAGAAGAGACTCTTTTAAAAACATTTAAAAAACGAATTGACCCAAAACTTCTGAACAGTAGTGTATGCATGTGTTGCCAGTGTATGGCAGATAGTAGCTGACGTATGTCTGGCTGTGTAGTGAGAGTCGGGCAGTAACGTCCCTGACGCTGGTCTCTGTCCAGACCGGACTCATTAACGCGCTCCAGCGATCAGCTCTGCGCCAAAGCATCCACAGCATCTCACTAATGTTGTAATCTCTGCTTTGGTCTTGGCTTGTAGCTAACAAAAAATACTCAGGAGACTCACTTCCAAGAATCGGTCAGATCCACTGTTCAATGAACACACTGGAAAGAAAATTGGTGTAAATGTGTATAATGGCATGCTGTAACCATTTATGCTGCAATACATTAGAAACAATTCAATAACAGTCAAAAACGTGCAGAAAACTATTGCAAAATTGCTCATTTGTAGCATTTAAACATGCATACAAAATCACAGAAAGGACAAGTTAGGCAATCAAAGACTATATTAAAAATAATTATGCATGCATCTCTTAGTTCCATTTCATTGATGCACTTTGTTTCGGGGCACGTACTCATGAACAACACAGTACCAGCATGCCACAGATGGCCGAAGGGCTTTTACTCCAGAGCAGGGAGACTTTTCACCCTGAGGTCAGATGTGAGGCACAGCGTTTTCTTGGCAGGACATGAAGCGCTCCAGAGGCCTCAGATACAGCAGCTGTGGAGCGAGTCTCTTCACTCATCTGCGTCAGAGGCCCGGCCAGACGTTTGAAGTTCTCCAGGCCTGTAAATCACAGAACATCTCCTGGACTCATCCAAAGCTCCCTTTCGCTAATCTCAGCCATGGCCTGCTGGAATACCAACGACCCGATCGACTATTTCAGCTCATTCATTACTGCTATTTTCTGCTTCCTCTGTAAGTGTAACATGCTGATATTTGTCTGCTGGAGAAAATTAGACTCATTTCATCAAACCCACCACAGAACGAGCCACAGGTCAAACGCTTCCGGTATTCAGATTCAAGAGGAATTCACTAAGAATTACTTGTCATTCATTTACTCACACTCTCTTGTTTTAGCACTTCAATTTAATAAAATAGTTGCAAAAATGAGGCAATAGTGCAAATGCCAGGTCATAGTTTTGAGCAATGTTCCCTCTAAGCAGAAGAAATAATGCACCAGACAGCCAGCTCTTTAACCTCCTTTCTATAAGCAGACTCGTCTCTGTCCTGGATGAGGCAGATGACTGAGTGTCGTCCACAAACTTCAGGAGCTTGACAGAGCGCTCTTTAGAGGTGCAGTCATTTGTGTAGAGGGAGAAGAGCAGTGGGGAGAGCACACATGCCTGGGGGGCGCAAGTGCTGATGGTGCGGCTGTTTGACATGAATTTCCCCACTCTCACTAGCTGTTGCCTATCTGTCAGAAAGCTGGTGATTCACTGACAGATAGAGCTAGGAACAGAGAGGTGGGTTAGTTTGGTCTGGAGGAGTGTTGGGATGATGGTGTTGAAGCCTAAACTGAAGTCCACAAACAGGATCCTCACATAAGTCCCTGGTTTGTCCAGATATTGTAGAATATAATGCCGTCCCATGTTTACCACATCATTCATGGACCTGTTTGCTCGATAAGCAAACTGCAGGGGGACCAGCAAGCGTCCAATGATGTCCTTCAGGTGGGCCAGCACCAGTCTTTCAAACGACTTCATGACCACAAACGTTAAAGCCACAGGTCTGTAGTCATTCAGTCCTGTGATTTTGGGTATCTTTGGGATGGGGATGAGGGTGGAGCGTTTGAAGCCGGAAGGGACTTCGCTCATCTCCAGTGATCTATTGAAGATCTGTGTGAAGATGGAAGCCAGCTGGTCAGCACAGGTTTTCAGACAGGCAGTTGTAGATGGTGATGTCTTTCAGTCCTTTCCACACTGAAGCAGGGTCGTTGGCAGAAAACTGGTTTCTCAGATTTTCAGAGTAGTTCCTCTTAGCCACGCTGATCTCCTTTGTCAGTGTGTTTTTGGTCTGTTTATTGAAGACTCTGTCCTCACTCCTGTAGGCGTCCTCTTTGGCCTGACGGAGTTGTCTGAGTTTCGCTGTGAACCACAGTTTGTTGTTGTTGTAAGTTAAATGAGTCCTGGTAGGAATGCACATATCCTCACAGAATCTGATGTATGATGTTACAGAATCTGTGAGCTCGTCCAGATCGGTGGCTGCAGCTTCAAAAGCACTCCAGTCAGTGCAGTCGAAGCAGGCTTGTAAATCCCGCTCTGCTTCATTAGTCCATCTTTTCACAGTCCTTATTACAGGTTTAGCTGATTTCAGTTTCT